TGAGAGAAAAAAAAACGTTTGTCCCCATCGGGATACGAATCCAAGACCTTCCGATTTCCGTTCGGATACTATACAAACTGAGCTATGAGGCCAAGTAGTATATACCCTTGGATTTTCCGATTAGGACAGTTTTCCTCTCAAGGTATTGCCAAATACGCAATGAATAATCGTGAGTCACATTAATGTAACTTAGGTATGGAGATGCAACTCCACTGGTGATAATTAAGAAGGTTTTCGTCTATATAATAATGTATCGATGTTAATCAGTTAGATATCTTTGGAAACAGATATTTCAATTAAGTATTGAAATTATTGTACTTACTGTTCATCGGATTCATCGTATGATATGAGAATATAGCCTGATTTTTTCCGAAATGGTTCCATTTCTTCAACCACAATGAGAAACTAGTTATTTGTACTATACGAAACTTGTATTGTTGGTCATTGATGAGCTGGTAAAAATAAGATAGCAAAGAGAGATTTATATAAAGATGTAAAGTCTATTATGACGTAAGTAATAATGTATCGATAAAGTGACATTAATTTATATTAATAATACATTTTGAAATATGAAGTCTGAGAAATTATTGGTGATATTACCGTAGTAATAATGATTAACAAAAATAAAAGAAAATATAATAAACATATGTCAATTGCATAGGCCTAATGGTAGTTAATATGGATCGATATACACTTATCATTTATTGTTGAAAAATACTATACTATCTATGCTTAAGAAAGAAATAAATTGACTAGTTCCATTTCAAAAATGTGTCCCTGTATTTAGGCCTACATCAGAACAGTCCTAGCAAATAACAGAAACATTAAAAGAATAGCAACTTACCATCTCCCGTTCGAGACTGTTCCTTAATCAATTCACTCTCTCTATAAGGTGATTATTCTGAGACAATCTGTTTGGTTTTATGAATTAATCTGCTAAAATTTTGGCAAGTCAACCAATCAGGTTTCAGCTTTCTGTAGCAAGACAGGACAAGATAATCTCAGATGCACGCAGCATTTAATTATTCAATCTCGACTTGAAAGTGTTGCAGACTTTTAGATTGATTAAAATCCATATCTCTGACTCAAGACTGTGTGCTAACTAAAAATGGCGCAATGTTGATTATCATATCTTACATACAACAATCTACCTGACGTACCCCACAGGCCTACATAAAATAATAACCAACAGTGACACATAATAAAAAGCCACAATGAATAGCTGTATTTGTTTCTCTCAGAAGAATTC